AAATAATGATAAATGGAAAGAAGTCTGAACTGTATTTCTTTACAATATGATTTAAGATAAGTGGGATCTGTGAAGTGTAATAATGACTTCCTGTCCTGTCCAACCTCACGAGCACATGGATATGGTGTACATCTCCATTGAGACCACTATTGCTCTGGCCTCTGTGGTGGGGAATGTACTGGTGGTGCTGGTGGTGTATGAAAACCGGGCTCTCCGCAACGCAACCTTCTGCTTCATTGTGTCTCTGGCGATGGCTGACATCGCTGTGGGACTTTTGGTCATCCCTCTAGCTATCGTTATCAGTGTGGGATATTACACTCAGTTCTACACATGCCTCTTCCTGTCTTGCCTGATTCTGATGATCACCCAGAGCTCCATCTTTTCCCTACTGGCAATAGCCATCGACAGATATCTGCGAGTCAAAATTCCTACCAGGTGAGGAACTGCTTTAAAAGCAGCTGTTTGTGTGTTTGTTTTTTATTGTTATTTGTTTTATCTGAAAAAGTAAAAATAAATTGATTGGAATAAAGTTGTGAAAGTTGAGAATTACAGTATCAATGTAGTAAATCATGATCTGTTTACATTAAGAAGAACTCAATATTCATAGCAGAACACCATAGGAAACTGCTGTCAGCATCCTCCTTGACCGATAAAGACTGCCTGATCCAGTCCATTGCAGCTTTCCTGTCCAAAATGAATCATGCAAATTCGTCATCCACTGATCTTGGTTCTGTACAATATTCATCCTACTTATAAGCATAAATGTATTTCACAAACATTTTAATTGATATCACATTATATAGCATGTGTCTTTTGAACTTGAACTAGCAGAACATATGGTGTTAATCTCTTTTTAATTGTCTTTAGAATCAGAGAGCCTAATATATGCTCAATCGAGGGAATTAGGTTCTCCATCTTTATGACTGATATACAGCACCATATATCTTTGCAAGGTTTAATGCAAATAAAAAGCTTTTAAGCAAATTAAAATGTTCCTGTCTGTGTAAACAACTGACAGAGGTAACATTTTTATGAAAGCTGGCGGTCTACCACACAACATTTTTATATATCAGTTGGATCCTGATGTCAAGTGTCAGTTGTGAAAACTTCTTTGAAAAAAAGGCTGACATTGGACCAATGAAACACTATAACTATAGTACTCATATGCGCATTTAGGTGAATCGGAAACCTGTCTTTTCTTTTTCATCATACTGCTTAGGTACAGCATCATAGTGACTAATGGGCGAGCGTTCGTGGCAATTTGTCTCTGTTGGATTCTTTCCTTCCTCACTGGATTGGTTCCGATGATTGGCTGGAATAACCGGGATACCGCAAACCGCAGCAACGCCAGTGAAATATGCTGCCAATTCATCGCTGTTATAAGGATGGACTATATGGTGTACTTTAATTTCTTTGTCTGTGTGGCACCACCACTGCTGATAATGATCACTCTGTATGTGGAGATCTTTAGGGTCATACGGAAGCAACTTAACCGCCGTGCTGAGGCCACCTGTGATGGAGACAAGTACTTCCGGAAGGAGCTGAAACTAGCCAAATCGTTGGCCTTGGTGGTGTTTCTCTTTGCTTTGTGCTGGCTCCCAATACATATCATGAACTGCGTCACTTTATTTTGCCCAAATTGTATCAATCCGATAGCCTCAAAGGTAGGGATTTTCATGTCCCATGTAAACTCGGCTCTTAACCCGCTGGTTTATGCATTCAAGATGAAGCATTTCCGTGCCACACTCATCCAAATCATTCGCCGTTGCATGTTATGTAAACCCGTAGAAGCGACCGCATACCCTACAAGCACAGTAGTCCTAAATTAGAGAGTGAATTTAAGTGTATAAAAAGGACTGTGATATTTCTGTTCTTGGCTTCCAGTGATGGTGTATCAGCAATACTAATGGGATGACATGATATATGGAACTGATAAGGAAAATAAACCCATTAGCTGGAATAACACAGCACTTCACTGAGTCTTGGGAAACACCCATATCTTAACCACTTACATTTCTGTTAGTTTCATTATAATAAACCAAGGTTGCAGTGAGAGGAAAGAAAATGATATCTTCATCAGTCTGGCATTTGATTTGTTTTGTTTTTGTTATTAAGTTCTTTCCTTACTGATTCATATTGAATTTTTTAATCATTGTAATGTGCTGTAGATAAACATCATAAATGATACATTCAATATTTCATGCTCAGAGTGCTTCAAAGTGGAAACAAGAGATGTCTTTCCCGTTTTAACAAAATACATTCTACTCAGTGTGATGTTGCAGGTATGTCTTAGATATTGTCAAAGTTATTATATTTCAAGGACATTATCCTTGTTTGTGTGAAAGCCAGTGGCATTCCATTGTGGGCAAAATATTGCAATATGTGCCAAAGTGGTCGACTGACTTATAAATGAGATTAGATTCATTGCAAAGATTGAATTTGGAAAACCACAAACTAGATGCTGGATGAGTCACATGAACACAGTCAGAAGAGTGAAGAGATTTACTGGCATAATATCAATACAGAGTACAGTTTGTTCTCTGGGTTTCACATAAACAGTTCAATATATGCTGAGATGAAAAGGCTCTGCCTTGAATGCAAATTAATCAATTCAGGCACTACACCAAATGAGACAAAAACTCTGCCAATATCAAAGCCTTTCAGCCATAAGTCTTTATCGCAGGATGCAGGGGCTTCCTCAGCGAATTCACATAGTTGAGGCCATATTTCACAAGCTGTGGCAGAATGGTGAAAAGGCTCTGGCGCATTTAAAGAAATTAACAACAGAGCATTATGCTCAAGTGATTTATTCCAACTCCAAGGCTAAAGCTTCTGCTAAAGCCGCATCGGTTCTGCATCGTCATCAGTTTGACCTCAGGACTACATCCACTCAGTACTTAATACATAAAAGCGGTATAATCCTTTTAGAATATTAAATGATTTTCCATTTGATATGCTCAGAACACCAGGCTTTGTGTTAAAACAATGGGGTTCAAAAAGGTATTTAATTATCGCTCTTTCTCTGCCTCTCAATCACAAACACGTCAATATGTACTATATATTACCATCTCTAACCTTCATCCTCGCCGAGGGATTTGAAACTGCTGAGTGTGGTCTAATCCCCAGCACTCATCTTAGAGAAGCAGGTACCGCATAACCAAGCTGGCATTTACTGCCTTTGCACCACACAGCCCTGTGAGCACGGGCCTAACAATAGCTACAGTAGAGAGGTAACAGCATGGTGTAAGTAGGAAGTGTCTATCGTGACTTCATCACACAGAAACTGAAATCTTCGCAAGGTAAGACTATTCATATGTATATTTGGAGAAACATTTAAGGCTTCTACAAAACGCTATCACTACATCAGTTTGCAAAATCATTTCTCACGTTTGCTTTTTTAACATTTTCAAGCAGCAACAGAATTTTGCATGCCCAACCAACTATAAGATGGCTGACACTCACAGAGAAGGAGAGGAACAAGGGGAAGAACAAGATCTAGAGGCTCCAGAAGAAGAGATGGATGACGAATATAATTCCTTGCTACACTTAAGCAAATACCGTGAAGCTCAGTTTGCAAAACCGTGGGAGCAGTGGACCTTCAGAGATAAAGCAAATTATTACATGGACCGCATCTTCCTTGGGCTTTTGGTCACTTTTTTGGTCATTTTTATTGGAGAGTGTGGCTATAAAGTCTGGTACGTGACAAACGTGAATGCGATTGTGGAGTTTGTTTCAGATTTGGTGGTCTTTTTGTTCGATTGGCTCTTCACGCAGGACAGACAGGAGCAGGTGGCTGAACTATAGGCTGCAATGAAAGGATTACTTGATTTTGTCTTTTTTTGTGTGTATTTTCTGCAATGTTTAAAACCCAAAAGATCACTAGAAAATTTGTCTGCATCTTAGCAAGGATTTTTTGTAATATTACCAGTACCTGAGCACTATTTCTGATCCTTTTTGATGGAAGTAAACATATTGAATGAGCTGTCTCACTGTCATGCACTTCAATGATTTGTACCATGTGGTTTTTTCCCCAAACCAACTATGTAATTAAAAAAATTATTAACTTCAGCTATGATTTATGAATGACAACTGCTATAACTATGTTAGTTTCTGTTACGGGCTAATTAATATGTTAATATATTTTAAAGTTGGAACATTGAAACACGCGGCGTAAATGCTTCGAAGAGTGCTGTAAAGCTGCTTTAAAGGACTAATTTTTTTAGGTGCCAATTCCTGTTTAATTCTCAATTTCCTTTTCTCCTTAACATTTAGATGCATTTTATTAGATATCATTTTACATTTTTATTTATATATATATATATAGAATTGATTTATATTTACTCATAAATATTAAATGTAGATATGTGACTTAATTGTTACAAGCCAGTTAATTTACTATCCAGTCTGTACATGGAAAGTGAATAATAATAACAACAATAGAATGTTTTTAGTGTATTTTTATGAAAGGTGTCATTCTGCTACAAAAGGTTTCCACTAAATCATGTTATATAAAAAATTAACTTATAATGGAGCGAATACAAATGTAACTTAGTTTTAGTTTCCATGAATTGTTTGACTTCTTCACCAAAAATCAATAATAACATGGTTTCTTACTTGTAAAGTTACATTTATAGGTGTAAAATTTGGCAAATTATAGTAGTAAAATTAGAATAGCAAGGATCCAGTGCACAAAAACGATTTTCTGTGTGCTGTTTTCCTGGAGATAAGCCACCTGAGTTGTTTGCACAATGGGAAATAATTTCACCAATATTTTCAACAATAAACACAAAAAAGTTTTCCCAGAAATTATTCTCAGTTGGGCACTTCTAGAATAAATGTACAGTGGTCTTTAGATCCGAAACTGCAGTTTAGACCAGCGTGTATTTAATATTGAAATTATAATAATTGTTACCGATTTATTTGGTCAGTGAGACGCTTGACTTCATTCTGTACCACATTACCCACAATCCAAGTCCAACATATGACGTATACATCTGTCATCAAGCAGACCAATGAAATCGACGCACTCCATCTCATACAACCTCCGGTACCGCCTCTCTTCCTCTTCCGGATTTTCTAGCGTGACCGACGTTTCGTGTCTATTTAGACTTAAAAGTAAGTCCAAATATCCGTCACATTATAGATGTTAGTTTGTATCTCATTATGATTTTTTAAGGTGACCCGTGTTTGATGGTTGATTTTATTCGGCTACAAATGTGTCGTTGTTGCCTAAATTACTGTCAGTAATGGAGGACTGCTACAGACAAACACTGGGCGCCATGCTGCCTCTGTCAGTCCCAACTGATGTATCCCAGCTTACATGGTTTACACCAGCATAGAGGCTGTTACACCATGTGTTCTTGGCACTGAATACAAAGTCGAGCAGCGACCTGCATATTTAGTATGGTGATTTCTGTCCGTGTGTAATGTTTAGTATTTTTATTTATAAAACATCAGCTACACTATAGCTAAACTGCTAAACCTGGCCAGGTTTAGCAGAACCCGGGTTCTCCGAACATGTTTAAAGACTCAAAGTATAATCTTAAAAACACTAAAGAATCAAAATATTCTTATAGAACTACTAGTAGTTGAACACTTCAGTATTTTGCTTTATGAAAGTACTCATCGTTGTCCTTAAATAAAGTTATAAATAAATTCACCGAGGATGCGTGCCGGCCCCCTAGTGGCAAACCTGGAGTATTTCTGAGTGTCAGACTACTCGATAAAAATACAATTTAGAAATCACCTTTTCCTTCTTTAAAAAAAAAGAAAGGTGCTAATCTAACGTATTTTGGCCTTCTATTCAAAGGAATATTGCCAAGACTATGATTTAACATATTTTTAACCAGCTAGTACTGCATAAAATACACGTTTGTCGATCATACGGGCAGCAAAAAAACCCGACATTTCTGTTGAGACATGTAGCAAAGACTTGCACTGCTTTAACTATATATGGACTATTCATGTTTTCATGCGTGGTCACCCACTACAGGCCTATTTTGAGAGAAAAGAAATACAGCTAAGCTTATGCTTTCTGAAATTGTTATTTTTACCTGTTTATCTTCTATTAAACAATTCTTTAGTAATATAATTAGCAGCACCAGTGCTCATTATACTCAAGTTATCTAATCTCATGATTTCCCCTGTTAATTACTTAATGTAAAAAAAATCATCAGGCCATCAAGACTAACTGTAACACAAACCGGAATATTGAGGTAACTTGGCACACAGATTCTTCACTTCTGTTTCGTTATCACTACAGAATGCGTTACGTGGCCGCTTACCTCCTGGCTGTTCTCGGTGGAAACGCCAATCCTTCTGCCAAGGACATCAAGTCCATCTTGGACAGCGTGGGAATCGAGGCCGATGATGAACGCTTAAATAAGGTTTGTTGCTAAAACATTGAGCCTTTTTTTCCTCTGAAAATGTGCCGTGGCTAAGTTGTCTCTTCTCTGCAGGTCATTAGTGAGCTCAATGGTAAAGACATCAATGAAGTTGTGAACTCAGGTAAAGGCCCTTCTTTGAAAATAACTGCAAAGGTCAAGATGATATATACACTGGAGCTGGCTAACAGTTGTGTATCACTTTTTTCTTCCACAGGCCTCTCTAAGTTAGCCTCCGTACCAGCAGGCGGTGCCGTGGCGGCACCTGCTGCAGCTGCCGCTGGTGGAGGTGCTGGGGCTGCGCCTGCTGCTGGTACGTATATATTTGTATATCTGTCATTAAAGAATAAAATTTAAGCTTCTGCAAGTTTGGATGATAAATTTGTACTAGCGTTGAAAAAGTTTAGCTGTGTGGGATCTTAGCGCTGGTAACTACTCTCTGTACTTATCTTTTCATTAAACAACATCTTCTTGTTTGCAGTGGAAGAGAAAAAGGAAGAGAAGAAGGAAGAATCAGAAGAGTCCGACGAAGATATGGGTTTTGGTCTCTTTGATTAATCTGCCTTCTCTGTGTTTAAAAAGCAATAAAAATGTAAAAGGTTTACACAAAATCACCTTTTCTTACTGTCCTTTAATTGATATTTATTTTAAATAACCCTTACCTAATTGTGACTGGGCAAAAGTAATCATTCACAAAGATATTACAGTTGAAGTGTCTGGGGCTTGACGCTAAAGCTTTTGTTTCATGTTACAAATAGACAAGACTGGGAAGCCAGTCATCATTAGGCAAACCAGACCTTCTGTGTGGTCTGTCTGTCGTATTGTTGGTAAGATAATTGAAACCACATAATGGTATGAGCAGTGAGGGACAGTCCATGAACCAGACCAGACAAAGTTGGCCACACAAAATAATAAAAAACAAGACTAAAACTGGTGTGTTTAAGGTTTAGGAAACACACAAATGACCTGTAACAACAATTCAGTCACAAGGAGAAAAACAAAAAACAGTATAGAAATTTGTAAAACGGGTCTTTTGGAACATGGAAAAAACCCCCAATAAAGTGTTAATAGTATTATAAATTGTATAATTTTCAATGCAGCCATACAGACAGTGATTCTTAATTTTTAAAATTACTGCAAGACTCACGAGAACAGGATCAACGGGAAGGAGGAAAGAAGTCAATCAGTAGATTGGTAATGTGCTTCAAACAACAGCTAGCATAATGTTCAGTGCTCTCAATAGTTATTTCTTATGGTAAATACGTTTGATTGCCCAACAAGTTGAATAGTAATGCAGCTGGCATGGATGGACACCTTAGTGACCTGTCATTGATTACCTGTGTGGTTTCCCTGTCACAAGCCAAAATGCTGCAAGGGCATAAATTAGAAGTGAGTCATTAGTCACATCACAATATATCTTTTGCAATTGATTTTTTAAATTGCATGACAGCATAAATAGTCACTCAGCTGTGACCTGGATTTTTCCACTACCTGCCATTTTCCACAAACTGCTTTTGCCTTACATAAGATACCCGAATTTAGGTCAACGAAGTAAGCAACTTAATCTCTTAACGCTGCCTTTGAAATGACTAACTACTCAAAGAATTAACGCTGATGTGTGGGCTTACTTTGCTTCAAGTTTCACTAAATCAGATCTCAGTGGTTCATGTCATACACAACACTCATAACTGTGTTGTGTTCATCATGCAGTTCCATTTATCTTTTTCTCGTTTTTTGTAGAGCACAGCACAAAATCACACGTGTTCATTATTTTTAGTAGGATACTGAGACAGTCATAGTACTTCATATTAATTATATTGACTGTTGATTTCCATTTAATATTTGCTTGTTCCAAATATATTAAACTCTATCAAATGTATATAGATTCTTTATACACTTTGAATAGTCAATGTAAAGCTTTGTTTATTTATTGCAAAGCTGATGAAAACATACTTTATTTATAATTGCAGTAGTTTTAACAAGTCAGTTTTATTGTCAGGGTTGTACAGCTTTTAAAATATGTTGTTATATGTTAGCTGTAAAACACAAAGGTGTGGCTGACCCAAGGTCTTTTTATTGCTTCAGCTTGCATTCATCTGTTAGAACAGAGTTTCTAAGTTTTTGTTACTTTGACATGAGGTCATGTCTAAAGTCAACCTGCAGCTGCATACATTGTATGGACAAAAGTAGCGAGCCACTTGCACATTATACCTACACGAGCAACTCCCGTTACAGTACTATGCTGGAATTCGGTGAGCTCTTATTTCCACAGAAGTTTGGAAAGGTCTACCACATGGCTAGGTGCCTGATTTTATATAGCTGTGGCAAAGGGATTGAAAACACCTGAATTCAAAGGTTAAGAGGTGTGGCCCATGTATGTCAGAAGCTGATGGCATTATTTCTCGAAGCCTGCTTCCTAACAGGTATAAACAGAGATCTCTAGCCTCTCCTAAACAGGTTTGAGCAG